CCTGGTTCCCTCTGGTCACGTGAACCCCCAGATTTTAGGGGTAATTCGAATTGCCGCCTCTTTGCCACTTAGGGAGGAGTGGTAGGGAGAATTCAAGAGCGAAAACGAAAACGTTTATAACTATGCCTATGGAAAATACGGCTATTTACGCTCTGTATTCATCCATATTTTGAGTTTTGTCGGTTTTTGTGTTATTTTTTATGAAATATGTCACCGCCTGGCGCTTGAAAGCTTTTTACACCTACTTGATATAATTTGCATGGCTGGAGGTCTGTTTTACACCTTGAAGTGGAGCCATTATTTATCAACGCAAAGAAAATAAACGTCGAATGCACCCTTATACAAAGTCAAAGTACAGTATTCAGTAGCTTTCAAGCTATGGCACAGCGAAAGGAAACTCCAAAGATTATTTACCCGAAATCCGCTTTGTTTTCGGAATGTAAGTGTCGCCTTTGTGGTAGTATTGCAACAACCTATTCTTAGAGCTAGCTGAATAGCGAAATAAAAACCTGCTTCGTATCGCAGAATTTGTAAATTGTGGAACTCGTGCGTGTGATGACCGATGATGGATTTTCTTATCTTCCTAAATTAACATTAAATTAAAAGAATGGGGGCCAAAAAAACACCCAAGACAGTGAAGCCAATCGAATGTGTAATATTAAAGTATACCGACTGGAGGAATATCGATCTGCAGAAATGATAAACAACTTCGACATAGCTGTAGGAATTGAGCCAAGAAGGCATCCTCTCACAAGCACAAATCTTCGGAGAAAATGTTATTTTATGTAATCTCTTGGAATTGAAACCATTTGCAATGAACAATACGGTATATGATTACTTTCATGAAGGTTTCTTCACAGATATATCATCAGATACATTAGCAACATTATAAACAAATTGTCGCTGCATTTGATGACTATAGCTAAACGAACACAAGAGGAACATTCACCAAGCACGTACCAGTGGACAACACATCAGAAGATGAAGAGGAATTATGACTGTGATTACTGTATTCTGTAACACTTTCACGAATAAGCAACAATGAAATGTATGGCTGTAGCACAGGCTACCAAGACTACCCTAGCTTGAAAGGATTAATAGATGCACAATTTGCACTTGTCCTATATTATAATGCAACTATTCCAATTAAGGTTAGTGTCACAGACAATAGTTAAATGTACAATTGAACGCTTAAAAAATCCTATTTTAACACATCAATAGCCTCACGGGAATACAAATTAAATTGGTATTCATAATATATTTGAGGTTTAAACTTATTGAAAACTATCATTATTCCCATTATTCATTTAGCACTCATATTATTGTACATCTGACTATTGTCTGTGACATCTTTAATTGAAATAGCTGTATGGTTACAGTATACTGTATAAATATGACATATATATTCAATTTAGAATTTTGTTCTGGCACTGCTGTATGGGTTTTTGTATACTGTCCATGAAGTAAATTGAGTTTATATATGCAAATAATGACATATATATGAGAGAGTGCAACTTGTGCCCACTTTAAAAAAACTGAGTTCAACAAAATTCACATTTGTGATTAATTGTGTATTCATTTGGTACAAAGTCAAGAATATTTCACAGGCCAAAAATATTTGTCTAATCAGGTAATAGCATTCCCTTTTCATATCGAAACTACACTCGACACATAAATATTGTCATTGTGTTTTGCATGCACTACAGCATAAATTGGTCTGCAAATGTCCGCCAAGGCATCAATATCAGTGCTTGTATGTGAATGCCTTTTCGTAAAAGATATTCTTTCGCTCAGAATTTGCAACCAACTCAAAGTAATTATTCAAGCCAAGTGATTCTTTTATGTGCCTTCGGTGATGTTTATATGCTGTAGCAGTCATGCAATAACGACTGGTACGTTATTAACACGCAATATACTACGTTTGGCATAAAGTGAACAAAATTGAGATAACAATATAATGGATTCAAAAGTAACGTGTAGAATTAGTTTTGTCTTTTGGTCAATTTCAGCTACATCGCAATCAATCTCTTCGTTGTGACATTTTAATGGCTGCTGAAAAACATTTATTGCTGATACTCTGAGTTTCATCGCACATAATTTTCGAGCTGGTTGTTTATCAAAGGCGCGTTCGCGATATACTGTAACGAGCAGCATTACTCATTTACACAAACGCCATGAGTTGGACATTCTCCTAACACTCTTTTAGCGAAAAGCATCAAAGGCAAAAGCTGGTAAATCAGCGACTCGCCATATTACCGGTTGGAAAAATTGCCAGTATATACACACCAAAGGACAGCTTTTCCAAGCAAATAACCTGCTTGGGCTTCAAAATAGTGTTTGCATACAAAATATTTATAATAGAAAACTGCAGACAAATAAGAAAAATAATACATTTTGAATGTTTTTGCATATTACAGTTGAAGTCACTTCTCATAGCCTTACAGTCACTCCTTGGCGGGCCTTGAAAACACAACATTAAACCGGAAGTTGTAAATTACAAGATATCACATTTCAACCACCCTCCCCTAGGACCTCTTGTTGCCCTAATTTTTAGGAGCTCACGTGACCAGAGGGAACCAGGGTCTTTGCTGTAGCGCCGTGCGGAAGTAAAAGACCCTGGCTTGCATATACTTCTGCATATACTTCTGCATGTCCATTTATTTCAACTAATGCCAGAAAAGAAAACTCCTATTGATCCAGACATGATTTGTGAAGAAATATTTCCAAATTTAGAAACAACCTGTTAGGAAGTGTGACTTGAATTTTACGTTCACCTAGTTACCTAGGGTTAAGCTAATCGGCTTTTGAACACAGAAGGAGAGACCCTGGGAACGAGGTTGCCGCGGCCCCTGACGGTTCAAAACTTGCATTAAATAAATTATTGTTTTATTCAAACGAGTAAGTTATTTATGTCGCAAGTGTTTCACGAATACAAGTGACCACAAAATTAATTGCTTCTGTACATTTTTTCATGTATATTATTTCAATAAGTAATAGTATGTTTTCTCGTGCAATTCGAAAAAAAGAAGCATTCGTGAGTTTATTAAAGATTTCAATTTGCACTCCTACTTCGGACTCGTGCAATACTGTAATTGATAATCTTTGTCAGACTTTGAAAAACTCACTCGTGCATTTTTTTTCCAAATTGCACTCGAAACCATACTATGACCTATACATAAAGAACCGCAGATGAGTTTGCGTGGTTATTATACAGAATAATAGTGGATTTTATTTACCACCTTTGGCCGAGAATTACATTGGTATTACAGATTAAAACCTTAGGGTCCTGGCACACTGCACTAACAGACGAAGCTGATAATTACTCCAAGACACAATACTTTTAAGAAAGGAACTCAAGAAACATTAATTAAATATTTATATTCCTCATTTGTAACATAGTATAGATAGTCTCAGATTTCATACCACCTACTTAAGTTTAGCGTCCTTTATACTGAGAATCATTTGTATACACCGGTCGAAGGCTATAGACTGACTCGTAGACTGATAGCCGAAAGCTCGTAGAAATATTTAGTCAGAGAACGTTCAATAAATAAATTATGTTTCAACCTGGCTACGCATCCTCTATTTTTTCAGATTAAAAAGTGTTAAAAATTAACAACAAATTTAGAGTATATAAATTTATATATGGTGAACAATTTTCAAAAATAATACTAATAGGAAAAGAAACAGATTAGGAAGAATATCGGGACATCATGAAATACTATACATCACTACGATTTGAGTCGAGTCATTTGACTATCTGGTCGAGTCAAGTCAACATCAGTTCACTCGAGACGAGTGAAATGAATGGCCACACGAATACTAGTATGGTGAACAAAAATGCCTTAAAAAATTTCCATACAAGCGGAAACAAGCCTATCTGCATCGAGAATTACTTTTTATTTCTTCAAGCCATTTCAGGAGACAGGAGTCTTCCCAACCTATATTCATGCAACTACAACATTTTTTATGAATTTATTCTGAACAAGTTGTAGCAGAGTTGATTCGAGTCATTTACGGCAGAAATCAACAAGCTAAAGTAGTAGAATCAAATCGAATATCAAAATCAGATAAAAAAAAATCAAATCGTATAGTCGAATCATTTGGAGCTGTTGACTCGAGTCAGTGTTCATATTCGACTCGAGTCGCAGAACATTGACACATTGTGACTCGAAACAATATCGACTTGTCCCAACACTGCCCCATTTCACGCACAAATGTCGGCTCGATTCGCTGAATCTAAAATTTTCACTCAGTTTAAAATCCAAGTTTCTGAGAGACCCTAAATTTCCGGCTTCAAAGTCATCGTCATACTGACTAAATTATTTTCATTTCAATGATTTGCCACATCTACATACAATGGGGCGCATTAAAATTAATCTGTCACACCACAACCGACCAGTTGTAATCCGGTAAGATGGACGGCTGCCAAAAAGGGGCGGCGTGTCACAGCGTGATGCGAATATATTCTTAACCTATTAGAATATTAATCAATGACCCTTCAGGGTATCCGGACAGATTCTGCATCACACATCATAACAATACAAGTCATTCAAGAAGTCACAGCTACAAGATGAAACTCTCGCTACTTTTACTCATACAAGGATTTTCTTGGTTGGATGTTTGCTGGACTTCTTCTCCACAATATTTTTACCCACCCGTGTTTTGGCAACAGGATAACTGTCCGTAAGTCTCGTTACATTTTAATATACACTAACACAGTGTCGTAGTATACACATATATATCTATATATCTATATGGTATGGCTGGTCGTTAATGGTATTCATAATTGGTGCCGACTTGCGAATATAATGATGAATTTGGTAGATATACGAGGTTTGCGCTAAAAATACCATTATATTTTACCACCAATAGACAGCCAAGTTCTATACTAACGTTATTTATGGTATTTAATAGTACCCACGGACTAGTGTTAATATATGTTCAAACATATCGGTAGTGTTATTAATGCAAACATCACACAGAGAATGAACCAGTTTGATTTGCGCGGTTACACAATTTGAGCACATTACATTGCAGTACACTTACAGAAATTTGTCTGCGCTGTGGTAAATTTGGATATAAAGTTTCGTATCATGCGGAGACATAGACGTAGTAAATATATTTCAGCTTTAGAGTTCAGTGTGGGCAGTATAGTGTGTAGATATAGATCATGGAAGGTCCCTGGTGTTGCTTCGTGGGCTAATGAGCTGCGGTAGAAATCGCATGGAACATTTACGATGCTTGTGAATAAGGCAATTAACTTGTGAGTTGGTGATATGTGATCTAATATTCTTTAAACCCACGTTGCCTCTATGAAAATCTTATACAAACGCTGTAAAGTAAGACGTATGATATACTTATGAAACAAAGGTCCGCGAGAAAATTGCATGGCGACTGTCAGAAAGTTAGGATAGCTACTGTATATGTCACGGTCGTTGAACACACACGACATACACAATCCAACCCTACGGCTATATGTCTACGAGTATACTTTGCATCCACACTACAAACATGACACGCACTTGTAGATCTGACCGAGCAGTCATGAGTCATATATTCAAAAGCCAATACACTACAGCCTTTTACGCATTGCGGAACCCAAATATACTTCAGTGCCAGCAATTACGCACGACACTCCTACGATTACACCGTAATTATTATTTGGTATTGGGTTACTGATGATTCACGTCTATAATGTTATGTCTATAGTCATTAGATATCACAAAATATGTTTGATAGTACGATGCGTGGTAGCACAATGTAATGGTTGCACATGCATGAGCCTTTACGATTCTTTCAATATGCAGTAGTTTTGGTATAAGTTGATTTCGGTTGCATGCGCATGAGAAGGCTGATTGCAGAGCATTTAATACTCTAACAAATATCACAGGTTTTCTCTGGAAAATATCAGGAATTTGGCCATCTCATTCAACTACTAATTACTATATGTGGTCCGTTATACTGGCGAAGAACAGTCCGCATGATACAACTATCCAGCATAAATAAAGTTAGGTTTGTTTTGGTATTGTTATCAGCGGTTCCAAAATATTTATTTAAGCTTTTAAACAAATCATAAATGATTTAACTCATTTCCAAACTAAATTGTCTAAATTGAATGGCTTTATTACTCCTTGAGGCTAAAACCTGATGTGTATAGATATTTGAATTTGCAACAACACACATGATTCTGAAAAGCGGTATATAGGGCCTGCGTTTGCATGGGAAGATTTTGGAATTGTCTGCATGTTGTCCATACAAAAATAGCGTAGCCAAACGACATTGATGGATCGCATGTAGGGGCTAATGTAATAATAGAATGATATGTTTTGACGTTACGGTCAAGCGATCTATCTTTGGCTTTGTTTTCGCTGCCCTTGCCGGAGAATTTGTTGTAATTTTGTCACACGCCGTGTTCACATGTTGCAAATTGATGTTAATTGTAGTATTTTATGACATGAAGCTGGCATGCTCAACGCGTCATTTGTGTTTGGACGACACGTATAGTTTAAAGCGAATGCATGACCCTACAGTCCTACTTCACTTTTATAACAAATTCCATATGATAAACCTCGAATCACAGGAGCGATTTGATCACCCATGACCATGTGTTGATATTGTCCTGTGGTATGATAGCGTATTAATATCTTCAAAACAGAAACTAATACTATGGACCTCAATTAGCGAAATTATGATACGATTTAAACATAGTTTTTAAGTTTATAGTGAATCATCCTTAACAGTAACCTCGGAACATATTCCATCTGTTAATTGATACATCTCGAGACGATCTAATTTGCAACATTCAATACGTTTTACATTGTTCGATGGTAATCGTGTGCTATCGTGATATAAGTAGCTAATCTTTACATCTTCGCCGTCTCGACTTTGTAATAAAGCGAACTTTTGACTGAGTAACTTTATTGTCACGGTCGCCTAGGACTAATCTTTAAGCAAACAAAGCGTGGAGCGCGCCATTGATATTATATATCAATGCTATTGTTTCGTTCGAAGCTTCATTTGTTTGGCTCGCATATCAGGCGGGCGAAAGACCTTTTGTGACCTCCGATGGCTACGCCGATACATTTCCAAGACGCATCTGTGTGTAATCTACAGTGTTCTAAAATTGCATTTCTCTAATTTTGATGTCTTAACTTTTTCATTTTCGAATGCACTCTTACACGGGTTTGTGTTTTGCGACATTATAGACACTCTGTTATCATATTCGCGAGCACCCTACTGGCTACACATTAACATTCAATTTACATTTCCATATTTTTTGTATGCTTCATAGCGTTAACCTACAGTCTTAAGCCGAACTCCTGAGCTCAATGCATGAGCGTCAAACGGCAAATTATACATGATTTATACATGCATGTTGCATGTGCCTGCTGCATGGAACGCCTCTGGTAAAGATATAATTAGATCCCGAGTCTATTACGGGGTTGTTCATGATGTTATCAATATCATATACGAGCATTATTTCGTAATGTTCATTTTAAGCAGCTGGTAAGGTGATATACTGTACACAAATGAACAATATCGCATCGCGTGATGTATGGCTCTAGATGAAACGATGATGAGAGTTCAAGAGAATTGGCAGTCACGCGAGGCTTGGTTAGCTGTTCTTAATGCTTTCCCAACACTATCATGTATTCTATTCGAGTTAAAACATAGTTGGAACACTTATCGAAGCTTTATGTTGTTAATCTAGCTAGAGCTTGAAATGTCCTCCGTAACAATGTACCATTTGCATTATAGACTAAATTTTGATCTAGACAAAAAATTCATTACAGCTTGAAAGAGCATCACAAAATTAGTAATATTCCAAAGTTTCGTTGCGAAATGTTGTAAAATGCAGATAATATAGCCTTGCGAAGTTTGCCGTTTTTCAATCATTTTGTATTACGCACGGGAAATTGACAGCCCAATCGGGTGTTGGGGCATCAATTTCCCGTTTGTATTACAAAATGACTGAAAAACGGCAAACTTCGCAAGGCTATATTATCCGCATTTTACAACATTTCGCAACGAAACTTTGGAATATTACTAATTTTGTGATGCTCTTTCAAGTTGTGATGAAATTTGTATCTAGATCAAAATTTAGTCTATAATGCAAATGGTCCATTCCTGACTCATTCTCGTTTCATATAGTGACGAAATAAATATAGTAACACACTAAACCTCTAAACTTGGCAATTGAATTTGGACGCTGTGAATTTGTCGAGCACATACAGATTAAATGTTTTACTAAATCACTTCTATATCATCTTGCCATATTTATGCAATTATACCATGAAAATTTAATTGGTCAAAAGTGACCATTTTAATTAACTTCTAAGTAAGTAGCATTCGAATTAAACTTTAAGGCCGCATGGTTTACACCATACCAACGTTTCTGTGACCACAGTATATGAATTTTGCATGCATAGGTTAAGTTTTGAAGGATCTGACTCGTTGTTTAACACCGAGAGAAATGTTTGTAAGAAATTTGTAAGAAATGTTTGAGTCCCTCTATATATATATAGGCCTTACGACGAGCAGAAACAATTTTTTTACCGTTTAATTTTACTAGGAAACCAAAATCATAACGTCATCGTTATAACCATGGATATGAACTGATTTAGAAACCATATATGGTTTAATTATATATTGAATAGAAATTTAATGAATACTCTTTGTTCTTTAAAGTAAAACAAAGTAAACACTTGTACAATCAGTTTGCAATCATCTCAGCCGGAATCTTCATCTAAGAATGGGTGTAGGTTGGCAAGTGCTTGTGGGCTATTCCTAATGTCGTTCACCTTGGTGACCGCAAAACCGCAATGGGCATTCCTTTGATCATTATTTTGCTCATGTGAGCGAGGGCGAATCACTCAAAAGGTTTCGTATATACAGGTCCCTAAATCGAGTGTTTTTTGGTTCACGAAATGCGGCTAAGGCGTGCTCGATATCATATATATAGATATGTAGTTTTTACCTCAAAAGGTCGCCACAACAGCCTGTTTCATTCAAGAGGAATTATACTGTATATACTTAAAAGTGTATAATTATAAAGATTAAAGTGCAAGGTGTGTAAAAAAAGTAGACAATTTTTAAACGGCTCTCAATTTCACAAACCCGTTCATGTCATAAAATTTTTACTGATAAATATAAATTGTTTGGGTACTTATAATGTAGAATAAACAAAAAATTTTCGTAAAGAAAAATTTTTCAGAGCATGGGTTTAAAAGTTTAAAACGCATTTTGAGTTTATGGGCGAGAAATTTGTTATGTGTTTTATCAATGGTCCAAATATCAGAAACTTTACTCAATTTTAAGTCCTTTAATTAAATAGCTGCTGGAACTTTCATTTTTTGGCACCAATGCCTATCACGCATGCTTAATTCATGCATTTACTTAATTTGCATATTGTTATTTTACTTTTTGTTTTTTATGATGACCATGCAGTATAATGTTATTTTATAATGTTATTTTACTAATTGAATAAAATAACATAATTTAGTTTCCTGTATTAATATGTATATGTAGTGGTAATATAAAATTTAGAAAGATTTAAATTCTTCGTATATATGAAAAACGCTTAATTGGAAAGCAACTGATGGCCGGCCTGAAATTGGAACACTTCTCAATTGAAACCTTTATTCTGTTAGCTTAGAGCTTGAAATGTCCTCTGTATAACAATTCGTGACTTTCAACTCTCATTATTGTTTGATCCGGACTTAAAAGTATGTAAAATGCCCTTGAAATATAAAATATACTACCAAATTTAGTGAAACCCCTTGATAATCTGTTGCGCTTTTTAATATATGTAACAGGAAAAGGCTATAAACGGTATATTTTACCGCTTATCATAATCAAGACTTTGGAAGCAACAAAATATTGTTTATCAATTCCTATTATTATAAAATTTCCGGACTTTACAAATTTCGTACATTTTTGGGTGTGGTACGCCCCTTGTCTATGAGAAGAGGGCCACCTTGCACCTTTACTCTATTGTGCAAACGCCCCTGTCTCTTTGGGTATCCGGTTTCCTTAGAAGTGCTAGACCTATCCGATATAAATAAAGTTGGATTAGGCGAGGTTCCCGCCCAAAAACCGCAGGTCTTAACCGAGCATTCTACCTTCACGCTGTGTTACCATTACATTGACCTTTACTGCACTTTGAGATAGGACTGATTTTAAATTTTATGCACATATACAAACATTTTCGATATACGCTTCAATTTAATGACAAATTAGGAAGTACAATTTTACTTAATATTTAATTATTCTACTGATCACTCATGACTTTCTGAATATTTACAGCCAATTTTTAAGTTGGACATCGATAATAAGCAACCATTTTACCTTAAAAGCTTAATTACACTTCAAATTAGAAAAATTGTTGAAAAAAAATCTCGACAGAAATTCAGTAAATGATGCCAAATTGCACATAACTCGATTCCTCGCTGGGAGGTATTCATTTATCACTCAATGAGGGGGTAGATGATATATGGTTTATTCATGAAAACAATATGTCATTTATTTTAATACGTTTATATGTTTGCATTTGTTACATGTGCATGGTGTATATTTTGGTTGGCCTTGGCAGTTTTTACATTTCTGTGAAGTTCATTAACTGTCTATTAAATTTAACATTATAAATTACATGTAGCTAACTATCTGTTTTTTCTAGTCATTTTAAAAGATTTTCCATTTCATCCAACATGTCGACATATGAATTAATATAGCTATACCATAGATATCTTATATACACTAGATAGTGCATCTTATTATTCTGCAATTCAAAAATTGAAGCCGTGATTGCAGACCCAGGATATTCCCATGAAATGAGAAGACTCGTATGTTTTCTATTTCTTAAACAGGGAACTTAAACATTAAGTTAAACCTATTCCAAATACATTTTCAGAATGTTCAAATGATGAAAGTTATTTTTTTAAGCGTTTATTATCGAATGGGAAACTCCAACACATGGCCTCCATCTATTCAAATGAGGGGTAACCGCTGGAACATTCTTGGCTTCAATTTTACTTAAAGAGATGCGCTATCTAGTGTATATAAGATATCTATGAGCTATATTCGCTGATTAATTTATTCCAACGCATTGGCTTATTCATAAGCACAATTTATAAGTTTTTCTACGCCGAAACATGTATCAATTCTCAATTTTTCTGCTGGGGTCGGTTGTTCAAAGGTGGGTTAACGCTAAACCTGGGTTAAAATTTAACCTGCTGTTCTAGTTTGTGTATTTCTGCACGTCTGTTTATTTCAAAACTTCAGAGAAGTAAACTCCTATCGATCCAGACAAGATCTCTGAAGAAATATTTCCAAATTTATAGACAAGCTGTCAGGAAGTTTGCTTCGAATTTTAGGTTAACCAAGGATTAAACTAAGGGACCGGTCATAAAGTAACTGCTAGGGTGGGCTGGAGTGATTTGGGATGGGCCATGGAAAATCTTTGGGCAGTTTCGATTAGCCTGCGTCACAGACGCTCGTGGCGGAAATGGGGGCACTTATCACATTACACACAGACTATGTCGTAGTCTAGTTTCGATGGGCCGCAAATTTTTTTGTATGTCCACGGTTGGTTCACCAAACAAAAACCCATGCATGTCTACTTCAAAAAATAAAGATATTAATAATAAAAGTAAACAAAACTATATCCAAATTATCAAATGCAAATGATGCTATTGAAGCCAGTACTCTGTTTATACAACAAGAAGTGGTCGAATCATAGCAAATACAACCAACTGGAGAGCAGCTCAGTATCAACGTGTTGGTCAAATTTGTTGGAATTATGTATGTCAATACAGTGCCGTGTATATTTACAATGTTCATACCTGCAAGTTTTTTTATTATAAAAGTATATTTTTCCAATTTAGATTGGGTGGGTCATGAAAATTTTTTTGTAAGATTAGATGGGCTTTGAAATTTTTATCTACACCTAAGATGGGTCACCAAACTTATTGGCAAAATTTGTGATTTACCTCCAGCCCACCCTAGCAGTTACTTTATGACCAGTCCCTAACCCAGTTTTGAACAACCGGCCCCAGGACATTATATTAAGGATTATATCTATAGTAAATATATCTATATAGTGTTATAGAATTTCCACAGGAGATCTGAAATCCTGCAGAGTTAAGTCTGTCAAGTTTGCTATAGGATTAAAAGCACAAGGATATAAAGACGATTGCAAATATTGCAGAAACTGAATCCGGGTCAAGGAGATGAAAGACACGTGAACTATATCCACTTTGTAATCGAACCACGTCTGCAATCATCAACCTCAATTTCTCAAATATCAACACGAACAAAGCTGTGCAAAACATTTTGACGTAAAAATCTACCACAAGTGACTCATTAAAATAGTGTACCATGCAGCGACTCATTTTTTAAACCAAGTAAATTTTACTAACAAATTTATAGTTAATTCGCTCATAAATATGAGTAATCATAAAAATTAATATCATAATCACTCAGGGTCATAGATATCTGATATACACTACATAGTGCATCTAATTATTCTGCAATTCGAAAATTGAAGCCGTGATTGCAGACTCAGGATATTCCCATGAAATGACTGAGAAGACTCGTATGTTTCTATTTCTTAAACAGGGAACTTAAACATTAAGTTAATCCAAATACATTTTCAAACTATTCAAATGATGAAAGTTATTGTTGTTTTTTAAGCGTTTATTAGTGAGTGGGAAACTTCAACATGGCTGCCATCTATTCAAATGGGGGTAACCGCTGGAATATTCTTGGCTTCAATTTTACTAAAAGAGATGCGCTATCTAGTGTACATAAGATATCTATGCTCAGGGTGCATTTCACACTGTAGTTTTTGAATCAAAATACTCATGGACTTTTGTGAGAAATGTTTATGCTAAAAGAGGTTGTATTATAGTATCATATAAAATAAATCAATCACTTTGCATGATGACACATCGGAAATTGGGTTGGACAATATAAACAAGAGATTGTTAACAACTAATGCCTCCTGTGTCTATAGCACTTGTCCCCCAGCAAGACTTGCTGCGATTCCTTAATAAATTACATGCACTATACACATATTCCATATGGTACTTTGTCTACGACAACGGTCGACACATCAAATTGAATCAATCCAAATTTGAACTTATCTTGTATATGCAATAAACTGAAAACGGTTGACCCTCTGACAGTTCAACTTTCAACACAGTTGGAAAGACCATATTAAAATTCAGTTCCATGGCATATAATTGGCTTACATATAATAAGACGAAATAAGTTGTTTAATTTAAAAAAGCCAATGAGAGAATGCTTAATTAATTAATGGAAACGAGAGCATCATGATGAAAGTGATCGAAACACAGCTTTTTAGGATCAATTAGGCATATTAATAATTGAGTTTACATGGTATACAGTATATGCAACTGCAAGTATATAACAAAACATATTTAATCAATGTGAATACCATGCAGTTATGAATACAAATTACATGAAAATACATGAGAAATAAACAATAATGATACTATTCTAAAATGAATTTCAAAAACAATATTTGGCAACTAGACTTACTAGAGTCAAACTTTCAACACAGCTGTAAAGAGTCTAAAGACCATAAATTCAGTTCCATGGCATATAATTGGCGTACATAATAATACGAAATAAGTTGTTTAATTTAAAAAAGCCAATGAGAGAATCCTTAATTAATGGAAACGAGAGCATCATGATGAAAGTGATCGAAACACAGCTTGTTAGGATCAATTAGGCATATTAATTTAATAATTGAGTTTACATGGTATATATGCATGTATACAAATAACATATTTAATCAATGTGAATACCAGTTTTGAATACAAATATTAATACATGAAAATAGATGAGAAATAAGCAATAATGTTACTACTCTAAATGCATTTCAAAAACAATATTTGGCAACTAGACTTACTAGAGTCATAATTGCAGTGGTGAGCTAGCCATATAGCCCATAGCAACAGGTCATGCTATGCAAATTGATTTTAAGGATTTGCATTATTCAAACACTTAGAAACGTATTTGTCTTTAACCTGTTGAGATGCAAGTTTATTGCCAGGGCTAGCTTCGCCACTGGCATTGACATTGTATCATTGTTTTTGTCTTGCAAAGCCATAATGTAAAAATATCTTCATAGTGAAGTGAAGAAACGAAGATCTTGCAGAGATTATTTATAAAATTAACTCTAAGGTTGGCGAGTTTTGTGTTTCTTTAAATTAAAAGGTATCGCTCGTCCCTATATAATCTCGTTAAGATAACAATGTTTACATATACATGCATGCTTTATTTACTATTACTTTTTAAATTCATTTCAATATTTAGCTTGAATTCTCTCATTGAGCCCTTATAGCTCTTGGAGCAAACGCAAGATCAATATAGAAAAAATATTGTTTATATACAAAAAATCAAAAACCTTTGACTATAGAGACTATGTGACTATAGTGACTATAGTGACTATATTGAGACTATAGTCTCAATTCTGATTACCTATACATATTCAAAACACGATTCATCCTAGCTATATGGCCCAGCTCATGTGTATAAACAGCCCCTAAATTAATGTTGCATGCATGATATAATTATCACAGTTAGTGACAAGTATGTTTCTCGTAGGATTAATTAAAATGTTCTGTATATAGTTATACACCTAAACCCCTAGCGAGGCCTTCAATTACGGCTTAAAAGCAATTCCCATTTGGCAGTAATTTTGGCAAACATCTTGACTGCCTACTGTTTATGTCACACCACACGCAAACAAAAACCGACGTCTATCATTATGCCCTTAATTGATCAATGTACCACCCTTGTGAGCATTGATTGTATTTTCATCCCAAGATGGTTAAACACTATCGCCAATGTATCGTCAATGCTTTGTCTGACTTTTGACCGCAGAGGTCACCTCAGCCAGGGGACATGACAACTTAATCGATTATCTATTTTAGTATAAAATTTGCATATAAGTATTGTTTCATACCGATACATATGTGTGGTTTAAACGTCGATGTTTTAATTAAGGCGCTGTTACACTATGCATTTGTCTCGCAACTTTTCTCGCGATTTTGTTGCGACACAAGTTGCACGCGAAATTGCAAGGTGTATCATGCCTCGCAATCAACAAGTCTCGCAATATTTTTGTTGCAACAACCATTGCACGAAGTAGAATCAAGTTCTACTTTTTGCAACGATTGCGGCAACGCTGCAATGCATTTTTAGAGCCTTGCGCAGTGTAACATCCCTCTAGCAACTAGTCTCGCAATGCTTTATGCACTGAAATTTGAATGGCTTCCTATTGGCTTTTGACTGACAATATGGCGCCAAACGTTAGCACTCGCGGTTTTTTTAATAATGATCATTGCAAGTTGCATGGAATATATTGCTTGGTGTAACATCCCTTGCAATGCGATCCTGAAATCGTTTTTGTCGACATTGCGAGACAAGTTCCGAGACAAGTTGCTTAGTGTAACAGCGCCTTAAGCCTTAAGGATGGTTCATAGAAGATTCTGCGATCGAGTTGGTGCCAATGAATCTTGATTCAAAGATTTTTTAATTAAATTATAGTTTTGAAAGAGGTTTACACCATCACAGACATTGATTAATGCAGTTCAATTTGATAGAGTATGTATTGCCTATTGGTCAGCTCGTTCTCACAATAAATCTTTAATTCTGTAATTAGAATGGTGTCATTCAAATTAACATCGACTGAACGCCTGCATTTGTAAAACTGTGTTTTTAAATGTGGGATGAACTTTATCCTGTCACTGGAAACTAATTCAACTTTGAAAATTGAAATGAATCCGTGAGATCTGTGCAAACCCACCATCGTGAATTCAAATTCAAAATAAAAGTGATTTTTCGGAGTATCTTTGAAGTAAAGTTCTTAACGGATTGGGAAATGTTTCACCCCTTATCGGTGACATTGCAATAAAGGGAATTATGCCAATTGAGATATCAGGTGTTGTCGATTGGATCTTTTTGCAGTTCTGTCACATTTTGTACGTGTGTACAATCAGATAAGCATTCGATCAAGCTCCACACTTATCTTGCGATGTGACACGAGTTTTAATAAAACAGTAAAACACATTGCCTTGACGTACGCCGTTATCATCTTTTATTGACATAACCTTACAATGCAAACTAGCAGCTGGAAAATTCTACCTCACAATTGCCCTATTGTAAAAAAAAAGTAAAATAACAATATGCAAATTAGGTAAATGCATAAATTAAGCATGCGTGATATAGGCATTGGTGCCAAAAAATGAAAGTTTCAGCAGCTATTTGAAGGACTTAAAATTGAGTAAATTTTCTGATATTTGGACCATTGACAAAACACATAGCAAATTTGTCGCCCATGAACTCAAAAATGCGTTTTGAACTTTTAAATTTCGCGTGCAAGTTATTTTTAATGCTGCCAAAAAGACACCACCTGCTCTGGAAAACTTATCTTTACGAAAATGTTTTGTTTATTCTAGTTTCTACATTATAAATTAATTCTACATCTGACAATGTTAGCGTGGATTATATATAAAGTTTATCATCATGTCATCATCGCAAAACAAAGCTTTTTGTCGAGTTTGACGACTGTCTGTGGACAAAGTGGTCTAAGGAAAGCAACGTGCAAAATCAGGAAAGAACACGCGGATGTGTCGAGGGCACTTTTCCTCAGTTCAGTTGTTAAGGAAAAGAATCTTTTGTCTTAAAGAAAGAAGAACATTAAACTACGCACGTTTGGTCAATTTTCATGCCAATATATAAGAATTCAACACCAGCACGGAGCCATTTACGTCTGGTGGTCTATATGCATACAAAAAGCATTTTTACAATAGTAGGAAATAATAAGCGGATGTCTGAAGTGTGTAATCGAAAATGCCTTAAAGATTTAAGGATGAGGAACTTATTTAAAGGAGGGACTCTCTAAAATCGTCGCTCCCTCTATATAAATACAGATTACAGGGTGTATAAAAATGGAGACCTTAAGAAATTAACCTTCTTTCCTCTTTTCAGTTGCTAAGGAGAAGAATCTTTTGTCTTGAAGAAAGAACAACATTAAACTACGCACGTTTGGCCAATTTTCATGCCAATATATAAGAATTCAACACCAGCACGGAGCCATTTACGTCTAGTGGTCTATATGCATACAAACTAAGCATTTTACAATAGCAGGAAATAATAGGCGGATATCAGAAGTGTGTAATCTGAAATGCATTAAGGATGAGGAACTTATTTAGAGGAGGGACTCTCTAAATTCGTCGCTCCCTCTTTATCTACAGGGTGTATAAAAATGGAGACCTTTAGAGATTAACCTTATTTCCTCAGTTCAATTGTTAAGGAGAAGAATCACTTGTCTTGAAGAAAGAAGAACATTAAACTACGCACGTTTGGCCAATTTTCATGCCAATATATAAGAATTCAACACCAGCACGGAGCCATTTATCTATATGCATATACAAAAAGCATTTTACAATATAGGAAATAATAGGCGGATGTCTGAAATGTGTAATCGAAAATGCATTAAGGATGGGGAACTTATCTAAGGGAGGGACTCTCTAAATTCATGATCCCTCCCTCTTATACATGCCGGATGTATAAAAAAGGAGACCTTTAGAAATTAATCTTGTTGTTGTAATTTGAATGCTATAAGCACTACGCTGAACATAAGAGTGCGAAAACACAATTGAATTGAATTTTTAATTAGCAGGAGCAAAATATATTGTGCTTAACAACAATAGAGATTAAATTCTAAAGGTCTCCTTTTTTATGATACACCCTGTAGAGGACATATCCGTATGACTTATCCGCTTAGCCTAATACAGTTTTCATGGACAGATTTTGTTATTGCAAGCGGATATTCCCAAGACATTGTTTCATTGTATATTCTATATTAATTGCAGTTAATTATCTTACTTTGATCTTTAAGAAATAAAAACATTTTCCGTGTGACCTCTACATGCAGTTATAGAAACACGCGTGGGAGATTAGAGAGAACGAGAAATAATCAGTGGGAAAACGAGCACGAAAGGCGAATTTTCCCACGTTATTTTGAGGTCACCTTATAAAGACCACTTAGTTTTACTGTATATATTTGTGAGCCATATATAGCAGTGTAGTTTCCATGTATAAGTAGAGACCTGTAGACGACTACGGCCAAAACAAACTCATTCAAATAAATGGCTGCAATGTGCCAAAGAAAACGTGTCGTCCAATATTTATCCAACGAACTGAAACAGTTTGATGACAAAATGAACCAACGGTTTATGTAAATCGGCATGCGTTTTGTATCAGAAATATAACTCCTTAAAAAATCGTCAGACGGTTTCAAGTGTGGTACTCTACAAAGCCAAAGGCTAAACTCTACTTTAATATATTTACGGGTGATAGATTCTCTTGGGAACCAAACACTCGACTGTGGTACATTTCATTCAACACTCTTCCCGTGGCCTTATAAAATAATAAAATTTCTTTCTTCTGTTCGCAGATGCGACCAGACACGCCTAATTACGAGCCTAATTAGTTACTAGAATTCATGATAAAATTAGAATTGTGCTGACATGTTCGTCTGCTTGATGATGAATTTGTATGCTAATCATCCTTACTTGCGGCTGAAAGCTAAGCTGAATTACGACGGACGCAGCTCAACAACATTGTGAATAAACATCTTACGACTCTGGCCCCAAAACATATCGAACCTGATCGAGACGAAGGCTTCCTCAGAAATTATGAATGATGTCTGAATCCGGAGCACAGCTACGGTGGAAGGAACAGTTTAGAGACTAATCCGAATTTAGGGACTAATCCCAACTTTAAAGGCCACATAAAAAAAAATAGTTGGTTAGCGTCCCCGCCCGCCCACAAAAAAGGCCCCGCTCAGGATTTTTTTTTATTTTTTATTTAAAAAAAAGACTTTTATTGATCAACAGGCTCTAATATATGTAGTATTTCCTGTTGACTGTAGTCAATTGTGTTAATAATTTGCGAAATTGCGTGCGAAAATGACGGTATGAATTATATTTTGAAATATATAAAAAAATATCTGTACTGCGCAAGAAAATCCAGTTTCGGACCTAACAGTGAGTAAAACCAAGGCGTTAAAAATTAGTAAAAATTAAAAAAAAAGCGCCCGCCCGCCCACTTTTTGGCAAAAGCTAAGGACGCTAACCAACTATTTTTTTTTATATGGCCTTAGGGGCCCAACCTTCCAGCTCACCCTGTCAACATTTCCTGTGGGAGGACACTGGAGTACCCGGAGAAAACCCCTGACTTTCAGTAGAACGTTGACTGACTCTTTTCACACAAGTCTGCAGCGAGAATGGAACCCCCACAATCTCAGAGGCGAAAGCCACATGCTCTGACAGTCTGACGACTGCACCATACGGTTAGCCCACCGAAAACATACACAATAGCCATTCTATCGATGCCCCAAAAATATATACATTGAGCCCCATTCTATTGCAATCCTAAAATATCCTTAATGGGCTTAAACACTTGTCAGTTGAAAAATTCTTGCGATGATTTAATTTTTATAATGTTCTAATTATGTTCAAGAATTAGAAATAGAATCCAATTATAGTTTCAGAATCAAGGCACCACCATGCTGCTATTAAATCTTCGAGAAAATTAAACCTTAACCGTATTTTTGATCTTTTAAGCGCCCCAACAAGGTGTGAAACCAAAACAAAAATAAAGTAGCGTAATGACTTAAGTCGCTTAAAGTTGTCTCACGCGATTTTTCTCGTAAATGATGAATTACAGAAAACGCAGCGCTTGATTTATGATTTATTACTATGAAAATAGAACATACATTTGGAACGCGTGAAGAAGAACTGGGGGAAGCAGGCATTCAATTACCATGCTGCCAACGACTGGAATAGTCTGCCTGTGGAACTCCAGAATATACGTCAAATTAAAACTTTTAAAACTAAACTAAAGAAACATTTAGCTATATAGCCATAGGACACCCCACCGAACTGATAGGATGCGCAAGAACTTTATACAATTTAACCTTTCATATATTCACTTTTGTTAGATATATATTTTTATTCTTTTATTTTATTTTATTTTTTTTTATCAGGGCTCCACTGAAAATCACTTTCGTGAGTGGACCCCCTGACTAAATATTGTAATTATTATTATTATTATTATTATTAAAATACATATGGAGCTCGGAAGCTGAATTGCGTATATACAAAACTACAAACAATTCGTCTAAAATATATTACAGCATTGAAATCGGCAAAATTTACTAAAAGACTAACTTAAACTAATAGAATTTCAATGTGGTTCATCTACTTAGTTATCTGAATTTCTTTTCCGATCTAGTATTCATGCGCGTAAATGAAATTTTGCTGACAAGCGGTGTACCTATGGAGCGCCAACAAGAGGCGACAAGGCGTGGGAGTGACATGATAAACGATTTATTTTTGGCTTTAGCAATTCCTCAATTAGTGTTTGAAAGGATTTGACTTTTAATTGAAGATTCCGGCCTAGCGAATTAAGTGTTAAAGCCACACAAATTATCTATTAAAAGAGATATTTGAGTGTGTTAAATTATTCACCTATCGAATTGTTAGGTGCGTTTAAATTAGTTTAACGGTCAAGCAATTAAGCAAATGCACGTCTTTGCCAGTGTAGCTCCAAAGATATCGTGGTGGCCACACGATTATGGCAGTCAATCCCCATTGGCTCCATCTGCAAAAAGATTGAAGGTCTCAGGCTCCCGCCCCGCCCCCCCCCCCCCCCCCCCCCCATGGAATTTTAACACCTAGCATTCTCTGTCCTCTAACTCCATGTTCCCCACACTGGAAAAGAGAGGAAATCATAGCCTATGAAATTAGCATTGCATCATTAGATTCATAGTTTATCCATACTATATCATAGTATAGAAATTGTAATTAATGGGAAAATGGATTTCCCATATTTTCAACCATATCCATATTCTGAGGTGATTTGAAAAAATTTCCAGTGCTACCCGTCAATACACTCGGGCTGTTTATAGCGACTTGTACAAATTAAATTAAATTCCACGCATGTACGCAAGAGACTATTTGTATTGAGGTTTGCGCGTCAACGGTTATAATTATTTGCGTGTATGGAAAGCATCATATATAAATAAGCTTTCGATTCTTAAAGCCTGCAGGATCTTATTTAATGATCTGTAATCCGGCGTTCTCAGATAATGTATATAAATATTTGGTCATAGAGAGCGGTAATACATGCATCTTCAATAACGTACGTCATCCAATGTATGATTGCGTGGGAAAATAAATATAATTGTTTGGATTTTGTAAAAAATACAACCTGTCAACCTGAATCGACAAAGTTCGTAAATGAAATCACATGATATCAATGTCTGTGACGTAGTTGGTGAGTTCTTACACGGTGCATAAGCCCGTAAATAAGAATGTGTTTCTCGTATCATTTATACAGATTCCATTAAACTGTCAGATAAGTCAAGTCCTTTTTTGAGGTGATAATACGATTGTAATCAACTCATGCACGCTAGAACAGAGAAATTAACATTACACAATTAGAGAGAGCACGAAGTACTAATTATCCAGTACTTTCTCCCTCTTGAATAATAGTTTTGTAAATTAATTTGTCTCTCTGTAGCTCAGCTGGTTAGAGCTCGACAACTGTCTCTCTGTAGCTCAGTTGGTTAGAGCTCGACTACTGTCTCTCTGTAGCTCAGTTGGTTAGAGCTGGACAACTGTCTCTCTGTAGCTCAGTTGGTTAGAGCTGGACAACTGTCTCTCTGTAGCTCAGTTGGTTAAAGCTCGACAACTGTCTCTCTGTAGCTCAGTTGGTTAGAGCTTGACAACTGTCTCTCTGTAGCTCAGTTGGTTAGAGCTCGACAACTGTCTCTCTGTAGCTCAGTTGGTTAGAGCTCGACAACTGTCTCTCTGTAGCTCAGTTGGTTGGAGCTCGACAACTGTGTCTCTGTAGCTCAGTTGGTTAAAGCTCGATAACTGTCACTCTGTAGCTCAGTTGGTTGGAGCTCGACAACTGTCTCTCTGTAGCTCAGTTGGTTAGAGCTCGACAACTGTCTCTCTGTAGCTCAGTTGGTTAGAGCTTGACAACTGTCTCTCTGTAGCTCAGTTGGTTAGAGCTTGACAACTGTCTCTCTGTAGCTCAGCTGGTTAGAGCTCGACAACTGTCTCTCTGTAGCTCAGCTGGTTAGAGCTCGACAACTGTCTCTCTGTAGCTCAGTTGGTTAGAGCTCGACAACTGTCTGTCTGTAGCTCAGTTGGTTAGAGCTCGACAACTGTCTCTCTGTAGCTCAGTTGGTTAGAGCTCGACAACTGTCTCTCTGTAGCTCAGTTGGTTAGAGCTCGACAACTGTCTCTCTGTAGTTCAGTTGGTTAGAGCTCGACAACTGTCTCTCTGTAGCTCAGTTGGTTAGAGCTCGACAACTGTCTCTCTGTAGCTCAGTTGGTTAGAGCTCGACAGCTGTCTCTCTGTAGCTCAGTTGGTTAGAGCTCGACAACTGTCTCTCTGTAGCTCAGTTGGTTAGAGCTCGACAACTGTCTCTCTGTAGCTCAGTTGGTTAGAGCTCGACAACTGTCTCTCTGTAGCTCAGTTGGTTAGAGCTCGACAACTGTCTCTCTGTAGCTCAGTTGGTTAGAGCTCGGCAACTGTCTCTCTGTAGCTCAGTTGGTTAGAGCTCGACAACTGTCTCTCTGTAGCTCAGTTGGTTAGAGCTCGACAACTGTCTCTCTGTAGCTCAGTTGGTTAGAGCTCGACAACAGTCTCTCTGTAGCTCAGTTGGTTAGAGCTCGACAACTGTCTCTCTGTAGCTCAGTTGGTTAGAGCTCGACAACTGTCTCTCTGTAGCTCAGTTGGTTAGAGCTCGACAACTGTCTCTCTGTAGCTCAGTTGGTTAGAGCTCGATTCCTGCTCTCCAAAACCCTTTAACATTCGAGAGATGTAGTGTAATTTTCTCGCTCTTAATATAAGCGTGAATTTTTGTGAAATGGACCACCATTCTGCTGCCATTCAAACGTGTAATTCAATTGTCATTACTAACCATTTTCATATCCCGAGAAACGACGAAGGAAGGCTTGTTGTCCTGTTGAAAAGAAAGAAAGGAAGGGTGAATTGGATGAAAATTGTGTGAATTGAAACAGTGGAATCGACGTCGATAAAAGTGAGTAATGAGAAAAAACGCCTACCTGTATGTCCCAGACTTTCACCATTTTATCTTGAGAGACTGACAGTAAACAGCCAGGCAGCTGACTGCTTAGAGCAATCCCTGTAGCAATTTAAACGAAAGATTACTAACTTTATTTACACTGCATGGATAGCTCTATCAGTTCTAAACTGTTCTCCCTTGAGGTTCAGTAATTAAGGATCATCTCTTATTGATCCAGTGTTACTACAGGAGGAAACCTAAACTAAACTAACTTTATTTATACTGGATAACTCTATCAGTTCTAAACTGTTCTTCCTAGAGGTCCAGTAAGTATAATCTCTTATTGATCCAGTGTTACTACAGGAAGAAACCTAAACTAAACTAACTTTATTTACACTGCATACCTCTATCAGTTCTAAACTGTTAACGTTCTTCCTAGAGATCCGGTAAGGATCATCTCTTATTGACCCAGTGTTACTACAGGAGGAAACTTAAACTAAACTAACTTTATTTATACTGGATAGCTCTATCAGTTCTAAACTGTTCTTCCTAGAGATCCGGTAAGGATCATCTCTTATTGATCCAGTGTTACTACAGAAGGAAACCTAAACTAAACTAACTTTATTTATACTGGATAGCTCTATCAGTTCTAAACTGTTCTTCCTAGAGGTCCAGTAAGGATCATCTCTTATTGATCCAGTGTTACTACAGGAGGAAACCTAAACTAAACTAACTTTATTTACACTGGATAGCTCTATCAGTT